CACACGGTAACAAGGCTCACTGAAGTGTTGCGAGAGTACAAAAGACCGCTCTGTCTCACTTTCATCGAATTGTAGAAGGCCTTTGATTCAGTTGAGATAGAAGCAGTCTTGGAAGCCCTTGATAGCCAAGGAGTCCCTACTCAGCACATAAAGGTTCTTCGTGAGCTGTACAAAAATTTCACAAGGAAGATATCACCATTCTACAACGATATTAACATTTACGTCAAAAGAGGAGTTAGGCAAGGCGATACCATCTCGCCAAAATTATTTACCGCCATCCTCCAGAACGTCATACGAACATTGGAATGGAATAATATGGGAGTGAAAATCGATGGTCCGCAGTTACATCATCTTCGCTTTGCTGATGACATCGTTCTTATAACAACAAACATTATCCAAGCGGAACGTATGCTTGCCGACTTTGATAAAACCTGTGGAAACATTGGTCTACGGCTAAATCTCACAAAAACGATGCTTATGAAGAATGGATTCGTTTCGCATACCCCATTCACGCCCAACGGAACGAATATCTCCGAATGCTCCAGTTATATCTATTTAGGTCGGGAAATCAATATGATGAACGACCTAGTATCGGAACCCTCGGTGCTGCTTAAGCAGGAGACAAAGGATTGATCAGTGCTATCGAAATCGCAGTCGAAAGGATGATGTCAGGAGTATCCCATTCCACACAAGCAACGGAAGGTATCCGAAGCTCCTACCTGCGTCAACGATCAAAAATCAAAGATGCCGTTCTGTACGCCAAATAGTCGAAAATATGGTGACCCGGACACGTAATGCGTATGAATGATAATCGATGGACAAGAGCTGTTAATGACTGGATTCCTCGGGATGTTAAACGAACTGCAGGAAGACCACCGACTCGATGGTTAGAGTTCTTCACGAGAAGCCTAGAGGAAAGTTACGATGCTCGACGAGTCCCTGGAGCGAGCAGAACCCACTGAGTTACTCTTGCACGCGACGGGGAAAAATGGAAGATTTATTGGCGCCGACTCGAGTCACTCGACGATCAACGGGACTACAGGTGATACAGGTGATTTGATTTAAAATGGCTCTTAGGCGCGTTATAATCGGAGACGTTGTAAAACACATCAAATGTTCTCCACTGGTATAGGATAACGTTAGATTATAAAGTAGTGAAACAGTGAAGAAATGGAGTAATACCGAATTTGATTGTTCTTTTGATTCGGGTACGTCTTCCGCAACAGTAAAACGCTGTTTTGGAAATACTAACTATGCAACGGACAAGGACACCACACACAACTCTATCGTGTCTCACAGGTGCTGGCCTTTTTAGCGTCACGTTACATGAACCTCGAAAATCATCGTGGTTGCTACATTACTTTTTAGAACACAACGAAATTAAAGATACATTTGAATGTTAGCATTCTGTCGGCCTTTGAACGATGAAAGGTTTCACACCAATTGACGCGTGCCAAATTTAAAGTCATTGTGGCGATTAAGCACTTTTAATCTGAAGAATCAGACAAAGGAATAAAACGCCTCGGTATCAAGAGCTACCAACAAAACTACAGAGATTGTACCTTCTGGTTTCTTTGAGATGGCCAGTAGCGCATCGAAGACAGAACCCGTGTGGTTGCAATATTCACTGCTGTTGATGTTATTTATTCAGTATATCTGTTTTACTATTTCCAGATAACCACTGTTCCCAACAAACGGATAGCCTCAAATACCCTTCAAACTACCTCCTTCTGTGGATACCAATGAGGGACAAAATCTGGCAGAGACAGCTCCGCGCTGTCTCCGCCGATATAGTGTTTGGGAAACGCATGCACATTCTTAGCTTATCATGAATCTCGTAACGTCCAAGTTCCATCTTCCCTAATCCGTAAGAAATTTCAATCCTTCCGACCTCATATCGATAACCTCAAATTCAGAGGCGAATAACTATTAGCCTTTCTACCATTAGTCCTGCTCTTGCAAAAACGGATCGGTCCACAACCTGAGCGTTAGATTCAATTGAGTTGAGCGAAGTACCAAACAAACTGGAACGAAGAACGGTCAAAAACCTACGTACTTGCATACTTGGATGGCATGTCCTCACGAGGTAGTACAGGTTCAAATCCCTTCCCATTCGAAACGTTCTGGCACGGTGGTCGCAATGATGCGGCCTGCCTCAAGCACAGTGACGTCAAGAAGCCTATTCCGTGATCAACAAACTGTTTTCAGTTGTGATTTCACCTAGTTGAGGAAACCGACAAACACGGTCCAACTTGCTAGTAGTCGTCTAAGAGAAAACATGTATCCTTTTAAATTCCAATCCAATCTACAATTCTTTTCATACATCTCTGTTTTTCTTTCTTTATTATGAAGTCGGTCCACATTTTTCCTCCACGATTCCTCAGATAGCGCAGCTTTCCACGGTCGGAACTGATCACCCTTGCTAGATATTGCATGCGTCGGCTGTATTTTAGAAGGCATAATCCAAACGATGTCCTTAAGGTATCAGTTCAGGTCTCTGCTGAACAACAGGGCGCTGGGAAGAGCGTTGAGATGAAAGTGCGCAGTTTCCGATATGCCAGTTGCAGGATGGGCTCTCTCAGAAGACCGAGTATGGTTTTGCTACTCTCTTGCAGTACGTAAATCCCTAAAGAACACGCAAGAGGTGGTCTCTGTAATTAGAAAACTATGCAAATCGATACGTCTTCACAATACGGGATTTTTATGAAATGGAATTTCTTCCAATCTACACGTAGCTTTATCTCTTTATGCTCTTTTGAATCTCTTTCGAATTTATGCTTCCTAAATAAGTTGAGTCTCATCCAAAGTCCGTGATCCGCATGATAGGTGAATCTTCATGGATAGCTTGTAGAGTACACACCAAATGCAAACTGGATGTCAGTTACAAAGGTCTCATCGGTTACCCGTCATGATAGTCGTGTGCGAAATGCTGCATTAATCTGGGATCCCTTCCTTTTAAATTAGGTTCCCATATGACCTACGAAAAGTGTATGAATTTTGTGAGTTTTGGTTGAAAATAATTCGAAAATGAAGAAACAGAGCTCGTTTATTCGATGTTATCCTAGCACTGTTATATCGCCCATGTGTTCATTCCTTAAAAACATTCGATAGTAAAATTAAGCGCTTTTAGAACATTTATGACGTCATGTGAGAAATTTAACACAACGGAGCCAACGGAGCCATATGTGACCTATATGTGAAGAAGAATAATTTCACTATTCAATTTTGATCGAGTTCACAGTGAATTTTACTGCTTCAAAAATTAACAGCTCATAAAGCGCCGATCTAGGCTATAAATGGTTTTGTATGACTCTTCACTTACTGCCTATTATCTTTTAATTATAGTGTATTACGTGAACTACAATCACAATGATGCTGAGATATTTGCAAAAGTTAGACTCCAGACTAGATGCGAAGCCGCCACCACCCTTGCCGGGCTCATGTGTTACCCATTTTACAGCCAGGCCTTTGCTTTACCTTTCTCTCAGCCAGTTTTTTACCCTTACAGAGCAATCAGCAATCACTTGCTAACGGGAATAATCGACGGAGTACAAATCGGCAACACGTAAACCTCGGAAAGTGTTTTCACGTGTTCGAATCTGGTTCGAGTTTCGCAAATATCTCAACCTCATAGTGGTTACAAACGGTTTTTTGTCGAGTATTGTCCCATGCGAATTGAACAAGCAGTATTTTGCGATGATATCCCTAAGGCGCAAAGATGCGAGGTTTTTTGAGTTCATCGACGATATGGATTACTAATAAAACAAAACGCGACAGTGTGAAGTTTCCTTTGTATGTTTAAAAACAATTCTGATCACTAAGCACTCAAGTTCTAGTTATCAAAAACTATTCACACAAAGAAAAAAAAACCCGCATTTTAGAGAATGTGCTAAATGTTGCATCATCTAGATGTAGAACTTGCAAACTGAATTTTCTGGACGAACAAGAGAGTAATGAAGCAAAAAGAAAAAGGAGCAATGGTCACATTAGTTCCTTTTACATGATACAACATGATATGTATCATTTTTATCCAACTGTACCACTTGCAGTCTTATCGAATGACTCAGGCGGGCGCCAGAAACTTTTCTTTTCTCCCTGTCGCGTGTCAGAGTAGGCTAATGAGTTTTGTCGACTCTAGCGATTCCTTGAGTATCATATCCTCCTTCTAGAGTTTTCGTAAAGAACTCCGACCACCAAGTCGGTAGTGTTCCTGTTGTGCATTTGACATCCTGTGGAACCCAATCTTTAACGGCACTCGTCTGTCGCCTGTTGTTAAGACGCATTACTTTCCCTGTCCGCCTGATTTTCGACGATTTAACGTACACAACCTCGGCTCGCTTGCGTGATACAGATACTTCTAGCACCGTCTTTCAACTGCACTTTCGATGGTGCTGATCAATCCTTTGCCTCCTGCTTAAGCGGCAACGAGGTTTCCGATACTACGTTAAAAAGAAAGAATCGTGGAGTCGAAAGGGTGGATCGACAGTGGCGTCTTCGTAGCGTCCTTCACTACATCCTCGAAATAGTATCGTACTATTGGAATCTTATTAGGCAAAAAAATCACTAAATTTATGAAGAAACAGAAAAGCCCTTGAAGACACAAGGAATCTATAACATCAAGATTTTTCAGAAAATAAGTAAGCAGATACACTTCTCCACGACTAACGGAAATCTACTGAATACAGAAGGTCTATTACTAATAAATTACTTTCTAAAAAACATTTTGAACAACAATACAAAAATCCTGTTAGGTTAGGAATTCTTTGCCTACAAAAATAACCCTCCATTTATCATTTTTTTCCTTTTATTGTATAGGAACGCTGACATTCAGATGGCATAATATCTTTCCAAAGAAAACCTAGAAAATCATCACGCTTCACCTTAATAGATGTTTGCGCCAAAAGCTGAGTCGACATCCCATTTTGTCGTTGCCCAAAGAACAACTCTCCAATTAAGGACGCACGGTTGGATACACGATGGTATCATTGCAAAAAATACCTTTAGATATTTGGATTCGAACTGAGAATGTCTCGAATCAACAAAGGTGGCAGTAATTGTAGCTTCCGATTCTTCACACAACCGTTTACTGTCAATAAGGCTGCTGATATTCCTATTAGAGTGCACTGAAGCAAAACCTGGGTAATAATTTCAAAAAATTACTGCTAAAATCTCATCCATTGAAAAACGTGCCTTCTATATAGCTTCTGGATGGCAATGACGATGACATTGTTGTCTCTGAAATTGGTGCGAACGAGAAGTCTGGGCAAGACGCAGAGAGAGGCTTCTTAAATTTCACGACCTTATTCCAAGAACCGAACTTCTTTTTCAAACGAAAAAGGATGAAAGATAATTGTCAGTAGCCTGTCAGAGAAGCTTATCAACTAATTAAAGTTGGCTATTCAGTTGCCTACAAAAACAACTAACCGATACAGGAAAAATTCCTCTAGTGGTTAACAAGGGATGTCCTGTTCGTTCAACGAGATCTGCTATGTCAACGTGACCAATGCCTAACCTCATCTAAATATGATCAGCACGAAATAGCTTGTAAATGTTATAAGGTTTTGGACATCACCACAAAAATGATATCCATAAAGAAGTTGATTTACTTTTGACACGTAGTCTTCTATTGCAGCATAATTCACTGATACATTCTGCACAACGAGACAAGCGAATGGGTCACCAGCTTCCCATTCACGCAATGCTTGCGCTTTCTCACTCCATTTTCGACGTCGCAATTCCACCGCTACCTGTGGAGGGTAGTAAAGCAAACATAGTAAACTGAGATGAAAGGCGAATCACTAAAAAACATACGTTTGGAATATGCAAATTCAAGACAACGTGTGATTCGATAGAAGAGGTGTTCTCTAATTTGAAAACAGACGTATCCGTGTTAACACAATCCCTCTGAAATTGCAATATATATATGTATATATAATATATATGTATATATATATATATATATATATATATATATATATATAGAATACATGTATATATGTGCATATACTTCATAAGACCCGTCTTCACACCTACTGCGCGGAATCCAGCACTTCTAATATCCGATTCGTTTCCTCGCATTCATCATTCACTAAGGTCTTCCAACTTTCACTATAAAACTATACGCGCGGCTTCGGTTGCTGCTTGAGGATTTTCTTTTCATTAACAATGTCGCAGAATATTGGTAGAGTCGATTCTCACTGGAGTCCTGAGATAGCCGGGACAAAGCGTTCCCAATTGGATCGCAAAAAGTAGCTTTTTCCCGCATAAGGCCGGTATCAGTTTTCCGCACCCAGAGGGATGATAGGATTGGTGATCCAGGAACGGGATCGAACCAGGACCACGCTCGTGATGACTGGCATCACTACCACTGTGCTGTGAGCTCCCTGCAATATATATAAATACATATATATGTTTAAATATATACATATGTAAGATTTGGAAGATTAATAAGGAATTGTTGCACACACGCGTCGTCCTCGAGCATGAACATGTAGTTCGCTCGATAGGTTCCAAAACCTTCAAATCCTTCGCTTAGACATTCCTGAAGTCTAATCACTGACTACGTCGTAGTCTTTCTGTTTTGGCTAATATTTTATGTGGTCAGTGACGATTATTGGCCAACGATAACGATCCATCATGTGCTCTAGTCACCTGATTTTCCATATCTCGGCGTATACTATAGCATCTCTGACCTTGAAGAAAAAATTTGGGTTTCAACACTAAATTTTGCTTCTTTTGTGATGTAGAATCATAGATCACTTTTCGATAGCACATAACACCGATAATCCGTCAACCCGCTTTTACATAACACCAAGATGTACGTGAAATCAAGCAATGTTCGTTGTCCTCTTCATCGCGATTCCGATGGTCTTGACTAGTAAGTTCAACAAACCACTAGTCTCATTCTCATCTCAGACAGCAATTGGCACCAAGCCTTGCCATTGTGTTTGTCTAAGATGGAAAGCGCTGTTTTCGATCACCGGCCACTACTCTACTGCAGATATGTAGATGATTGTTTTGTCGTCTTCTCTACGTAGGAGGAGATGAAGAAATGCTTTGAATTATTGAACGAGCAGTCCGAGTACATAAAGTTCACCCGGGAGAAACCGAGAAAAAACAGGCTTCCGTTTTTAGACGTTCAAACAAACCTATCAAGTAGCGGTCACATGAATCGAAAGCCATGTAACAACAACATTCTTGTTCATTTCCTTTCTTCCCACCCTTCACACACAAAGAGGGCGATTGCGAGAAACATGTTTCGAACAGCCACCTCTGCGTGCACTACCAGGGAACTAAAGGAAGAATCGCGCGACTTGGCTCGGCAAATTGCCATCTCCAATGGCTACGAAATAGTAACCCCACGACATAAGTTTAGAAGGAGAGGGACGCGCCCAAACGAAACAGTTGGCCAAAAGAAAGTCTCGTTTATGTTGCTTTTAATAAGCGATGAAGTAAGCGTAGCTACAAAACGATGCTTAAGGCGGGCAGGTTTAGAGGAATCGGTAGGGATAGTTGAAATACTACAGGCTACTCTACGTCGTCAATTAGTTCGTAACCGCCTGTATGACCGTCTGTGTGAAACAACAAATTGCGTAATTTGCTCTTACGGCAGGGACGGTGATTGCATGAGTTCAGGTACGATATACCTGATCTCTTGTAATAATTGCGAAGATGAATATATTGGTGAAACCGGCAGACCTTTTTGTATCCGTATAAAAGAACACCTAGATGGCAAACGAAAACTAAGACGAAGCACCCCACTAGGCACGCATAGGATACAAAAGCATAGCGGAGACGATTTTGAAGTAAAAGTCAATATCCATGTCTTGAGGTTTTTTGGATAAATGCCAAAAACCCTACAATGAATAGCAGGGATGAATGCCCGGAGGTCATACGCGACCTGATCACGTACGTTCGCATCGATTTTTGATGTGGGATGGTGCAGTCGTCAACCATATGCGACTATAATCAGCTGTTCTAAACATCCTCATTGGAAGTCACGATAAAGCGGTGGGTTTTCCGAAAAGTTGTTGGTCATGTATGTTATTGAAGCGTTTGGCCTAGTAGATGGTATATCAGTATACCCTTCCAGGTTCTGAAGAAGGCGATACTGCCGAAACGTCAACTAGTGTTGTATTGTATTGTGTTTTTCTATGGAAGTAAATGTATGCTGTTTAAAAACCTCGCGATTGCTGAACAAGAAAACGACGCTCTCGTCTCAGAGTTAGATCTGGAGAGCGAAAGAAAGCCGATGTGGCCGTTGAAAAGATCGATGTGGAAATCCGAGACGACCCTCTCCGTTGATTTTTTTGCGGATACAACTACATTATTAGTGCTTTATTACAATCGATCAATAAAAACTCACATTTGTGAAAAGATCAGGATCGTCGGCGAATAGAGTGGAAAGGCCGTGTAATGCATTTTCCTCATACATTACTGACACCGGACAAAAATTAACCTCAATGTTGTGTCGCACAACAAGCCGTGGAGACCGGCGGCGATACAACATTCTGAATACACCAGTGTGAGATTTAATCCAAACATGTCAACACCTTCCATCTCAATAAAACGCCTGACTAAATATGTGCATAAATATCTAATTTCTAAATTTATTTTCTAACCTTTATGATGCTGAGATATATGCAAAACACCGGACCGCAGGTGTCTGCGGTGGGAAGCGAACGCGCTATTGTCGCTATTGTCCTTGTATCTTTTCTAACCATTGCGAGAGATATCAACTTTATACAAAATCATTAGTCTACCTAAATACTGGTTCCGGATTTTCCTCAACACTTTCCTTTCGCCCAATTGCCAGCAGAATTTTTGTTGACTCCGTCAATGAAAACATGAAAGATTGGTCAAAGTCACTGCACAAATGTTCATCCTGTAATTGCTCAGATTAAGATTGGGCTGCTTATAAAGAAATAAAGTTTACAAAAACGAGAAATAAATATTCTTGAATTCATATATATATATTTATACATATATATGTATATGTATATATGCATATATATATTCATATATATATGTACATAGCTCTATATAAGTGTATACATATGTATATAGAGAACATTCTTTACGAATATTGGAATGTTCTCTATGTGAATTAATTATAACCTTATGTCAAACATTTTCGAA